CTGAAAACTCTGGGTCTGAAAAGACCCAGAAATAGGCTGAAACGAGGTAGGGCCTGCAGGCCCTCGTTTTTCAGCATCCAGGCTGAAACGAACGGGGCCTGTAAGCCCTAAGTTTTAGGCTTTTAGGCTGAATGTCCGGGACGGGCCCTGCAGGGCCCGTGTGGCTACGCAGTATGCCACACAGGCCGAGGTAGTACACAGGGAGTTCCCATGCACTTCACGGGTAGGCAGAAGGCAGGAGTAGTCTTCAGGATTCGGCAGCAGCACTCTGGAGGAGTGCTGCAGGAGTAGCTTTAGCGCTAGCAGTAGTCTTCAGCGCTGGGCGCTAGCAGCTGTAGTGGTAGTCTTCAGCACTGGGCGCTGGTAGGAGTAGAGTAGTGTTGGAGAGAGAGATGGCTGGCGGAGGCCAGAGAGACTTACCTGTGGCGCCATAGCTCCAGCTTCATCTTCGAGGTACCTGCATCAAGGCGCCAACTTCACAGGTTAGTACCGGACTGCGAGAGAGAGAGAGAGTGCGGACTACGAGAGAGAGAGAGAGAGTTGTGACTTTGGGACTTGAAGACATTGGGTCTAGACTCGACATTGGGATTCAGACATTTGACGAAGGATTATTTGGGGCCTGTGCCGAAGACTTGGTGTTGACGACATTCCCATCTTCCCCTCTTCGTCGTCTAACCCCCCTCTTCTTCGTCTGTGTATGGTTGGGGACTGGCGCATTCTTCCTGTGTGAGCGCCAGGCCCCTTCACACCATGGAATGATGATGATGTATGTTTGGCGCTGAATTGCAACATTGATTGTTCGGATCATTGGTATCTATGTCTTCCGCTACGCTATCTTGTACTTTGTGAGAGAGGTCGGTTCTTGTTCTGGTCTGCACCGTTACGGTATGCGACAGTTTGGTATGGGAGTGGACCTCTCAATCAGAGGACCCGCTCAATCAAGTAGCCAGCTTGCTTGATCTATTGATTGTTTATTAGTAAATCAAGTAGGACTTCGTCAAATCTCTGAATTTTTTTTTTCTTTCTCGCAACAAATATCTGAAAATTTCTGATAATAGCATTGGGTTTAATCTGAAAATTCCTGATAATAGCATTTCGTTTTATCTGAAAATTTCTGATATTAGCATTTCGTTTTTACGCAACAAATATCTGAAAATTTCTGATGTTCGCATACATAGCCAAAATTTCTGATGTTAGCATTTCGTTTTCTAGGCATGCTAGGATAACGATAGAGGTGGTCATATTCTCAGAAACCGGATTTATTCTTTTCTGAAAATCGAATCTCCATTCTATCTCGCAAAATTTTTTTGAAAACCGAAATCTTGCGAAGCCTATCAGCATTTCGTTTTTAGGTATATTAGGAGGTTGTCATATTCTCAGAAACTGGATTTAGTTCTTTTCTGAAAATCGCATCTCTAGATTCTCTACTCTATTTCGCACAATTTTTTTTTCAAGATCGCATTTTTGTGAAAGCCGAAACGTTGCGGAACCTGGCCTAGATCTCGCTCACAGTACTCCTCTGACATGCCTCACTCATAACAGATCGACAGATATACAAAAAAAAAAAAAAAAGGGGGGGTGATCCTCTTCTTTTATTTTATTATTGTATTTTATTCTGTTGATTAGGACCGGGAGGAAAGTATAGCTTGGTTGGTTACCTACCTGCGTTTTCCCTCCCACCCAACCTTTTGCTTGCATCCCCGGTTTGGTACAGTGCCACGTCAGCAGTGCCATGTCAGCAACAGTGTCACGTCAGCAGTGCCACATCAGCAATGCCACATCAGCAGTGCCACGTCAGCAGTGCCATGTCAGCAATGCCATGTCAGCAGTGCCACATCAGCAGTGCCACGTCAGCAGTGCCACGTCAGCAATGCCACGTCAGCAGTGCCACATCAGCAGTGCCACGTCAGCAGTGCCACGTCAGCAGTGCCACGTCAGCAGTGCCATGTCAGCAGTGCCACGTCAGCAACAGAGCCACGTCAGCAGTGCCATGTCAGCAGTGCCCCGCCACCATGACGGTCGCAGTTCTGGGCATGCCAGGCCAACTGGCCAATGAGTCCATTGCCGAGTACCGACAGCGGTTCGAATCTCAGCTCGCACTGATCGAGGCTGAGGAACAGCGTCAGGCGGCAGCCGAGGCTGCCCGCCTACAAGCTGAAGCGGCAGCAGCAGCTGAAAAACAGCGGCTTCAGGACGAAGCAGACGCAGATACCCAGGCACGCCGCAAGGAGGCCCAATATCTGCTACGGCGGCATGAAGCCACCAGCATCGAAAAGCTCAAGTTTTGGCATTTTGAACCATCCGAGCACCACGAAGACGCGACATCGGAAGAGCAGCACAAGGAGTTCCTTGCCAAACTCGTGACCCGGTTGGTTTACACTTGTAACCACCTGCAGTCCGAGCTGGCGAATCTCCGACGGGCGGTGCGGAACCACAAGGATCTGCACGAGGATGCTACACGGGCACTTGATTCCTGCGTACAGGACTTGGAGCAAGTGGCACCAAGACCAGATGCTGGCGAGTCCAGCAATGCACCCTCTACCCGCCAATTGGAGGAACGAGTTGACCACGTAGTCGCAATGCTCGGCGACATCAGCACCTTCGCTGCACCAGCCACCATCAGCAAGCAGCTGGACACCTTGAAGACCGAGGTTCAGCAACTGCACCAGTTGCCCAACAAGCATGGCAACACCAGTGCGTAACACTACAAGATGCCGACATTCCGCATCGAAAAGTTCGATGATTATACGCATCAAGACCTGGTCCCCTGGTGGGAGGGCTTACGATGACACTTCGGATTCTTTTTGTCCCCGAGCACTCGTACATCGGCGCGTTATTCCTCAACTCAAAAGGCGGATGCCAGATCTGGCTCAGCCACGTGGTGTCCATCCACGGCGTCCAGGTCGCCGACCTACATGAGAAGATCTCTTGGGAAGAGTTGATGAGGCTATGGAAGAAGCGGTTCATCGTGGACGACGCCCCGGCGGTCGCCATCAACTGACTCTTCAGCCTGACCCAAGGCAACACATCGACACGCGACTGGCTCACGGAATGGCAAAAGATCACTGCAACACCCAATCTTGAGTTGCCATTTTTGCATCTGCGCCGGGAGTTCTACGACCGGTCATGTGCCGCCTTGAGCCTCGCACTTGGTGATCGCGAGCAATACACGACCTTCGCCGAAATCATCGACAAGGCAAGGGAGATCATCAAGACCAATTGGGCGGCTGCACATAAGAAGTCGGCGTGGCAGCCAACCTATGTGGGGAAAGGAAAATTTGGTCCGCGTCCGCAGCATGTCGCTGCAGTCCGACCGGACAACATTGTGGAAGACCCGGCAGCCACTCAAGCATCACATGACGGAGATCAGGTGGCCGCTGTCCAGCCGCGAAGCAACAACAACTCCCGAGGAAAAGGGAAGGCGAAAACCACATCGCCGGTCGGAAACGGACAGCCAGCACCATGGGTCAAGTTTCACTTGACCGAGGCCGAATACAAGTGGCGCGGCCGGTATGGCTGCGGCTATTGGTGCAACAGCACCAAGCACAAGACCTCCCAATGCCCGGATCAAGACAAGGAGGATGTTCGGCCTCGCATCAACTCGGGAAACTGAGTTGCACGGGAGGTGAGGCGACTCCACCTCTCACTCCGCCAGATTCGGCCGCCTTGCTAGTGGCCTCCTACACATCTGGGGAGGATGCGAATGTCGCAAGTCCTCGGTTCACTTATGAGGATTATGCCGTCCACTTGGTCCCACCATTGGACCAGCCACTCCACGTGCAACAATCCACGCATGCACGATTTCACCACCATCGACAACCGATTTGGCAGCTTCGCCGCCATCTATACACGGGGATTCGACGTCATGGTCAAGACTTGAAGAGCTCGACCCATTGACGTTTGCGGACTTCCAATGGATGCCCGTCCGGTCGATTGCCGAAACCGCATTGCAATGTGCTCATGGCACAAATGCGGGATTACTTGCACACTGCAGTACCAACTCCGTTGATGGACGCCGGAGTAGAGGTTGTCGACCTTCACGACTACGTTGCGAAGATCGACCGCGAGTTCAAGACACAATGGTACGACGACATCGACGCGCCATTGTTGTACATACGCAACCTGCAGCGCTTTGATCAATTGCGGAGCTACTCGCAACTACATGAGCCTTGGGCCACGCGTACGAAAGGAAGTCGCAGCCCACGCAAGTCACGTTGGCTGACGGTCACACGCACAAGTCAATCGACCGGTGCATCGATGTCGTCCCCGTGTACTTTGCCCCGCATGCAAGCGAGGCCGTGTCCTTCAATATTTTGGACACCAAGTTCGACATAATCTTGGGCATGTCATGGCTGCGAAGCGAGGATCACCCGGTGAACTTCTACCGCCGCACCGTTCACGTTCGTGATCGGAATGGAGTACTACTCCCATGCACTATGCCTCCTCCGCACCCTTCGATCAGCTGCCACGTGGTGTCCGCCACAAGCATTCGAGCTTCCATCATCAGGGATGACATCGAGGAGATGGGGGTGTGTTTTCTCCACGCCCTCCCGCCCCATGACATTCCATCGACGGACTCATCACCGGACGCACGCATCACCGAGCTTCTCGACGCCTACGACGACGTGTTCGAAGCCCCGCACGGAGTAGTACCGGATCGGCCCATCCGCCACGAGATCATCCTCGAGGCCGGGGCCATACCTCCGCGTGGTTGCATCTACCGCATGAACGAGGAAGAGTTAAGTGTGCTACGGGCACAACTCGATGACCTTCTCGACAAAGGTTGGATTCGGCCTAGCTCTTCGCCATACGGTGCTCCCGTTCTCTTCGTCCGGAAGAAGAACAAGGATTTGCGGTTGTGCATCGATTATTGCAAGCTCAATGCGCAAACCGTCAAGAACGCCGACCCTCTTCCGCGCATCGACGACCTCTTCGAACGACTGGGCGGCGCCAAGTTTTTCTCCAAGCTTGACCTCAAATCGGGATATCACCAACTCGAGATCCGACAGGAGGACCGCTACAAGACCGCGTTTAAGACACGATATGGGCATTTCGAATGGCTGGTTATGCCTTTTGGCCTTACGAGTACCCCGGCCACATTCCAAGCGGCTATGACAACGGAGTTCCGACACATGCTGGATAGATTCATACTCATCTACCTCGACGACATCTTGGTGTACAGTCGGAGTTTGGACGAGCATGTGGAGCACCTGCGCACCGTTTTGGAGCGACTACGAAAAGCCAAGTACAAAGCCCAGCACGACAAATGCGAATTCGCGCGGCAAGAGCTGGAGTACTTGGGACATTATGTGACGCGCAAGGTATCTGTCCGCTTGCGGACAAGATCGAGGCCATCCGCGTATGGACCGAGCCCACCAACACCACGGACGTTCGCTCATTCATGGGGTTGGCGGGCTACTATCAACGCTTCATCACCGGGTACTCAAGGATTGTCGAACCTATGACGAGATTACAATCGCCAAAGGTGCCATTCGTATTCGATGACGGCGCACGCCTGTCATTCCAAGCTCTCAAGACGGCCATGCTCATGGCACCCGTCCTTAGCATCTACGACCCCACCCTGCCAACGAGAGTGACAACTGACGCTTCCGGCTATGGCATTGGGGCAGTCTTGGAACAACACGACGGCGACGACTGTTGTCACTCTCGCGAGTATTTTAGCCACAAAGTGCCTCCCATCCATTCACGTGATGATGCAAGGAAGAAGGAGCTGCTCACGTTCGTGATGGCTCTCAAGCGATGGCGGCACTTCCTCCTTGGGCATCGAAGGTTCACATGGGTCACGGACAACAACCCATTGACCTACTACAAGACGCAGAATACGATGAGCAGCACGATCAGACGATGGATGTACTTCATCGACCAATTTGACTTCACACCGAAACATCTCGCCGGCCTCTCCAATCGCGCAGCAGATGCACTCTCGCGAAGACCCGATCTTTGCGCTATGACACATCATGCCTTCCCATTCGACGAGGAACTCCAGCGACACTTCATTCGGGGCTATGAGTCTGACCCGGATTTCGCCACGTTGTATGCGCAACTATCTTCGGATCACCCGCCGGCCAGCCACTATCGCATCGTCGATGGGTTCTTGCTCCTCCACTCGCGAGGCAAGGACTTATTGTGTGTCCCACGCGACAGTCGTCTTCGGACTCGCCTTCTCGGTGAGTACCATGACTCGCGACTCGCCGGCCATTTCGGAGTCAATCGCACTATTGCACGACTTCGGCAACGATTCCCGATGGCCCGACCTCATTACCGATGTCACTCGGTATTGCGACTCTTGTGAAGTTTGCCGACGAAGCAAGCCCCGCAACCGCAATCCCTACGGCGAGTTGCGCCCGATGCCTATCCCACGGGAACCCGGCCTCTCCATTGCCATGGACGTCACCGGTCCATTTCCCCGCGACCGCCTCGGGCACGACGGCATCCTCACAGTCGTTGACCGTTTGAGTAAGTATGCACGATTTCTTCCTTGCAAGTACTACGCCACGACTCCCAAACTTGCGGGCCTCTTACACACCAACTCGATTTGTAGCCACGGCGTAACGGAAGACATCGTCAGCGATCGCGACACTCGCTTCATGTCGGCATTTTGGACTTCTCTCATGCAGGAATCCGGCACGAAGATGAAACCAAGTCCGACTCGACATGGAGCGGGCACATCAAACCGGTCAAATGATGCTTCGTACGCTCATCCGTCCGAATCAGAAGGATTGGGTTGACCGCCTCCCCGACATCGAGTTCGCCTACAACACTTCGTTGCATCCGGCGATCGGTGTGACTCCATTCGAGTTGCACCACAGTGGCCGGAAAGTATCTTCGTTGATCTTCTCCTCCCACGAACAGCCGACCTAGACGCGGCTTGCTCCCCCGCTTCTGTCCGGAAGTACAGGGAATTGCTGGCTCAAGCCCGCGCGAACATGCAAAAGGCTCAAGTCCTCATGCAACAGCAAGCCAACAGACGTCACGTGCCATGTCCCATACGCGCCGGTGATCTGGTGTGGGTCTCCGCGGAAGAGTTTGCACTCGAGCAGGATGTTTCACGCAAACTGCTTCCCAAGTGGTTTGGACCATGGCCCGTAACATCAGCCGCGGGCGATGAGCCCGATGGCCCCTCATTTGTGATCAACATCCCCCCGCATGTGATGGTCCATCCAGTCTTTCACACCTCAAAGCTGGCGACATATACACCAGCCAAGAGCGGCGACTTCGCTGGCCGAAGATCGCAAGATCCTCCATCTATGGATGGTCATCAGGAAGTTGACCGCGTCATCATGGATCGCAAGTACGGCAGCAAGCCTCGACAGTACAAGGTTACATTCAAAGCATGCGATCCCGACGACACTCAATGGATTTCAGGAGCAGATTTGAAAACATCCGCACCGCTGATCTACGCTCACTACGAGCGACAAAGGTTAGCTAAGGGAACGTCACGACCTGCCCCTCCCACCCGGACTATGGTCCCTCCCTCCGACAGACAGCTTCGCCCTCGCAGGTAAGCTCGGTCTTTCAAGGAGGGGGGGGGGTGGCATACTGCACAGCCACACGGGCCTGCAGGGCCCGACCAGCGTTCGCAGCCTAAAAGCCTGGAAACAAGGGCTTACAGGCCCCGTGTCGTTTCAGCCTGAAAACCTGAAAACGAGGGTCTGCAGGCCCTATGTCGTTTCAGCCTAAAACAGGGCCGTCCAGGCCCTGAGTCTTTTCAGCCTGAAACGGAGGGCCACTTTCGGGCCCTCATATGGTTAACCTGCCCTGACATTCAGGCACCAAACCAGGGGTTTAGGAACAGACTATTTTTGGCCTGTTCCCATGACAACCTCAGCAGGAGCTGCAGCGCCAGGCCCTGGCTCGTTTTGGCATTGGCAAGAGCAGCCTCCTGGACTGCCCCGCCCTGCAACTGCAGGCAGTCGGAGGCAGTCAGGAGGCAGGCCGAGGTAGTACATAGGGAGTTCCCATGCACTTCACGGGTAGGCAGAAGGCAGGAGTAGTCTTCAGGATTCGGCAGCAGCACTCTGGAGGAGCGCTGCAGGAGTAGCTTTAGTGCTAGCAGTAGTCTTCAGCGCTAGGCGCTAGTAGCTGTAGTGGTAGTCTTCAGTGCTGGGCGCTGGCAGGAGTAGAGTAGTGTTGGAGAGAGAGATGGCTGGCGGAGGCCAGAGAGACTTACCTGTGGCGCCATAGCTCCAGCTTCATCTTCGAGGTACCTGCATCAAGGCGCCAACTTCACAGGTTAGTACCGGACTGCGAGAGAGAGAGAGAGTGCGGACTACGAGAGAGAGAGAGAGAGTTGTGACTTTGGGACTTGAAGACATTGGGTCTAGACTCGACATTGGGATTCAGACATTTGACGAAGGATTATTTGGGGCCTGTGCCGAAGACTTGGTGTTGACGACATTCCCATCTTCCCCTCTTCGTCGTCTAACCCCCCTCTTCTTCGTCTGTGTATGGTTGGGGACTGGCGCATTCTTCCTGTGTGAGCGCCAGGCCCCTTCACACCATGGAATGATGATGATGTATGTTTGGCGCTGAATTGCAACATTGATTGTTCGGATCATTGGTATCTATGTCTTCCGCTACGCTATCTTGTACTTTGTGAGAGAGGTCGGTTCTTGTTCTGGTCTGCACCGTTACGGTATGCGACAGTTTGGTATGGGAGTGGACCTCTCAATCAGAGGACCC